GGACTGAAGAGAGAAGCAAGCGAAACCAAGCACCAGTTGTTGAGGTTACAGCGGTACCTTGGTTCTCAAACTTAATCCGTCCCGGAAGTCCATTCCAAAACCAAAGCGTTCCAAAACCAAGGCGCGCTTTCCCATAGAAAGTAATTCAAAATGGATTAATCCGTTCCAGACTTTTAAAAACAACCCCTAAAAACAGCAAATGAACATGAATTTTACTACCTAACGAGACCATTGATCCATAAAATGAAAGCAATAAACAATGTACTGCAGTCACACAATCAATCAATCAGTAGCTGAACTGGGTTCCACACAGTCACCCCTAAAAAATAAATATAAAATATAAAAGGCAAAAGAAATAGCAAAAACAGAGAGACCTCAGCGTAACACTCAAAACGGAAGCATTAACACTCAAAACAGAGCATGTTCGGCTTCTGAAAAAGTTTGCGAACTGGAACACTTACTTCCGAGTTTGCATTGTTTGGGTTCCAAGTTGTTTGAGTATCAAGGCATTTGAGAACCAAAGTACCACTGTACATCATTTCAGCAGGTGGGCCTCCCTGCCTTTTAAGTAGGCGTAAGCCTTATCCCAGGGACGCGGGTGGTGCTGTGGGTTAAACCACAGAGCCTAGGACTTGCTGATCAGATGATAGGCGGTTCGAATCCCCGCGATGGGGTGAGCTCCCGTTGTTTGGTCCCTGCTCCTGCCAACCTAGCAATTCGAAAGCATGCCAGTGCAAGTAGATAAATAGGTACCGCTCCGGCGGGAAGGTAAACGGCGTTTCCATGCGCTGCTCTGGTTTGCCAGAAGCGGCTTAGTCATGCTGGCCACATGACCCGGAAGCTGTACGCCGGCTCCCTCGGCCAACAAAGCGAGATGAGCGCCGCAACCTCAGAGTCGGTCACAACTGGACCTAATGGTCAGGGGTCCCTTTACCTTTTAACCCTTATCCCAATGTTGACTTCCACCAGGTAGGCTGCTTGTCTATGAAAATCAGGCAGTGCTGGCCCAAGGCATTCCGCTGAGTGAAAAGGAACCCCAATGGACCAGCAGTTTACAGAGTCTGGTTGTGCCATTCAGACTCCAGTTCCTCATTTCATGTCTGCTCCCCTCTGCTTCCTGATGGTGCAGGAAGCAGGTTCCCTACAGCCTCCCGCATGGCTGGCTGGCCCCTAAAATGGTGTTTAATGTGCACCCAGTTCCCACAGTCAGGTTTCTCTACACACAAGCAGCCACAATGACCTGCGGATAGGAGAGGGGGATAAATTCAGTTTGCACTTTTATGGTGAATCTGCCTCATTTTCCCTTTGGTTTTTTTTAAAAAAAATCATTTTTATTTGGTTTCACAGTACAATACAAAATTATTTTAAAAATTCAAATACCTATCCATATGCAGAGATTCCTCTGAATCTGAGGACTATCCCCACCCCCTGCCTGGAGTCCCAATTTAAACATTTAAAACTGCATTTTCTTCTAAGCTCTAAGTATTGTATCAATCCATATTTTCCATGGTAATTGTTAAAATACAAGTGAAATCAAAATCCTGCCAATGTCTCCATCTCCTTACAGTGGTCTCTTAAATAACTTATAAATTGTTCCCATTCTTTTGTAAAGTTTTTGTCCTCTTGGTTCCTGAGTTTTCCAGTCAGCTTCTTGAAGCTACCAACATGAGTTTGATTTGGCACAAAGTTGTTTCGCATTATTTCCAAAATAATGCAGGAATCCCTTCCACCCAATTCGACTCTTGCCTTGTTATCCTTAGACTAAAATTTAAACAATAACCTTAAATGCAGAGATTGAGTCCCCACCCCACCCCCATTATCAGCAGCCTGATTAACAATAGCCCAATACAGTGGTACCTTGGTTCTCAAACTTAATCCGTTCCGGGAGTCCGTTCAACTCCTGAAACCATTTAGAAACCAAGGTGCAGCTTCTGATTGGCTGCAGGAGCTTCCTGCACTCAATCGGAAGCTGCGAAAGCCACGTCATTCGGCTTCCCAAAAACACTCGCAAACCAGAACACTTACTTCCAGGTTTGCGGCATTTGGGAGTCAATTTGTTCCACAACTAAGCCATTCGAGAACCAAAGTACAGTGGTACCTCGGGTTAAGAACTTAATTCATTCCGGAGGTCCGTTCTTAACCTGAAACTGTTCTTAACCTGAGGTACCACTTTAGCTAATGGGGCCTCCCGCTGCCGCCGCGCGATTTCTGTTCTCATCCTGAAACAAAGTTCTTAACCTGAGGTACTATTTCTGGGTTAGCAGAGTCTGTAACCTGAAACATCTGTAACCCGAGGTACCACTGCACTGGAAACAACCTATAGAATCCCCATTGAAATCTGGTTCAATAATATTTGGAATGTGGCTCTATCGGAATGCCTTACTTGCCAAAGAAGGATAAACAGAGGCATTTCAAGGCTAGACATTTTTGGTGACACTTGTCTTCCTTTCTTTTCCTTTATCAATGAGGCAGAACATACTTTCATTCTACCCACCGCACAAGAATCACTGTGGAGAGGATACTTGAGTTGATAATGCATAAATAAACACATTGCTTGTGTCCTGCGTAGGAAGCTTAAAAGACAAGTTGCTGCACTTCTATGTTGCTGTTCTTGTATTTACAAGAAAACCAATAAAAATATTTAGGGGGAGGGGGGGTTGATCTGGCACACAAAGAAATCAGGAGGAATGATGATCAATAAAACGTGTTCTGCCTAGCAGAGAGCACGTGTTGCGGTGGGGGATACAAGCCGCCTCACTGTTGCTGGGCGGATTTGCGGAGTGGCCCAGGCAGTGAATGGGTTAATTGGGTCGCTGGGGAGATCTGCTTGTTGCCAATTTTGAAGGAGGGGTCAGAGGTTTTAAATATTGGACGCCCAACTTTGGCCGTCCTCATGGCTGCCCGCCCACCCTCTCTGTATTGGGGGGGTTGTTCGCTTTACCTTGCTATGCCTGTCATGGGGTCGTCTGCTTTGAGGCAGGGGCCTGGTAGGAATTTTGTCCATTTGGCTTATTGGCTGGTGCCATTTGGTTTTTGCCTACTGCGTAGCAAATCGTCACAACTTGTAAGGTTGGCGGTTAGGCATTGGTTCAAATTGGTTGGTGGAGGGATAAGTGCCTACCCCTCCAATGGTGGTGCGGAAAGGGAATTCCGTTAAAGGAATCCAGGGGCTTGCCATTCTTTTCGTCCTTGTCCCTGGCATCGGACTTGGGCCACCAGGAGCATGAGGGTGAGAAGTGAGGGACTGAGGCCCAGCTTCATTTTCTCCCCAAAATTGTTTCCCTGACTGGCTTCTGCTAGAATCCGGAAGTCAGTTCTGTCCCTGGTCAAGGACAGATAGTCAGAACCAATGCCTAAGCAACCACTCACTGGTGTGTATTTAAATAAAGTTGTGGCCAAAATCGTGCCAAAAACCCAAACCAAAATTGATGTGTGAGGTGTGAATTATTGGAGGGTGGCTTGGGGACCTCGACACGCAAACAGAGCCTCTGGAAGCAACTCCCTGGTTCTTGGCCTCACTGATGTAGTGGCAGTGTTTCTACATCCTCCTTGAAAACAGCCGGTCACAGAGCATGGGAAGCATCTCCTGAAGTGCTAATCGGGGCCTTGGCTGAGAGCAGAACTCTCCTGGCAAACGTCCCGGCGTGGCCTCAGGCGAAGATGCTCTTGTTTTCCGTCTCAAGGAGGTCAGGGGTTTGGGCCAGCCATTCATAGCCCGCCGCCGCCTCTCTGGTTCCACTTTTAAAGATGAAAGCCCTCAAAATAAAACAAGTGTACAAAAGAAAAATTTATTCCCATGACAAAGATCCTTGGGGAACGGCTACTGCATGGGACCCAACGGATATATTTCCCTTTGCAATTCCCCCACTACGTCCCTGGCTGCAAGAGCCTCCCTTCCAGCCAATAATATTTATTTATACATACATACATACATACATACATACATACATACCCCGCCCATCTGGCTGGGTTTCCCCATCCACTCTGGGCAGCTCCCAACAGAATATTAAAAACACGATAAAACACCAAACATTAAAAGCTTCCCTAAGCAGGGCTGCCTTCAGGTGTCTTCTAAAAGTCAAATAGTTGTTTATTTCCTTGACATCTGATGGGAGTGCGTGCCACAGGGCGGGCACCACTACCATCTTGCTATTGATGATCTTCGCCATGGGGATTACGAAGTTATATGGCTTTAGTAGAAATGTTCTAAGGAATTAAGTATAAATAGATTAACAGAGTATTAAAGGAAAAAATAAGGTTAGAATGAGTTAAGATAATTATAGGATAGAAAACAGAGGAAGATGGAAAGGAATTGCTGAAACAATTAACAGAAGTGGAATACAAAAAGGGAGGTGTGAGGAGGTCGTGGAAATAAGTGAATGAAAGATGGGATAATGAAATTGTTTGATTTATTTTATTGTTTTTGTTTTGTTTTGTTAGTTCAATGTGTTTAATGTCAATGTTATGTAGTGTTTTTGTATTGTACTGTTTTTGTCGTGTTTAAATTGTTGGAAAAGTAATAAATATTATTTTTTAAAAAAATAAAATAAAAGTCAGATAGTTGTTTATTTCCTTGACATCTGATGGGAGTGCGTGCCACAGGGCGGGCACCACTACCATCTTGCTATTGATGATCTTCGCCATGGGGATTACGTTAGCTGCACTGCTAGGGGGGCAGTCCACTTCTGTTGTATTTCACGGGATCTGATGCAGCTTAGATTTCTGTAATGGGGAGGGGGGTGGATCTCATCAGTGATCCCAGCTTTCATTCCCGGAAAAAATGTGAAAATTTGAAGGATGCACTCGGTACCTTTCTGGTTCTCGCGTCTGTCCTTTCTGGTTTGAAATTGATCTCCAGCCACCGTCATTCCACTCCCGACAAGTTAATTGTAATAGATTGTCAGAGCAACACACACAGACGTACCATATTCCTAAACACAGGGCTTGCAAGGGGGAACTGCGACAAAATGTCGCAGTGTGGAGAGATCTGCTTCTAGGACTAGGCAGATGGCTCCGCCAGTAGAGCATGAGACTCTTGATCTCAGGGTTGTGGGTTTGAGTCCTTCAACGGGCAAAATTTTCCTGCATTGCAGGGGGCTGGACTAGATGACCCCTTGGTCCCTTCCAGATTTACAATTCTGTGATCCTTTCGCTCCACTCATGTTAATTAATCAACTACAGTCATGGACGATGGCATTCTGTTGCCCTCATAGTGCCCTTGCATGCCAGGTTTTTGCAGAGCAGGAAATGCGGAACCTGTGGCTGCCTTCAGCTGTCTCCTTTCTGAAATCTTTTTTATTATTATTATTTTATTTTTCAGTGCAAAATTACAACATAAATTATATATATAAAACCAAAAAGAACAAACAAAAACCCATAACATTCACAATACATAACAAAACATACAGAGACTTTGACTTCCTTCCACTGTTTTGGGACTTCAAATTTTCAATCTTCTTAATTGTTATGTTATATTTATATTGCTTTTAGTTTTACACCTATTACAACCATTTCTTCATTTCTTTGACCCTGCAGAACTTCACTCATTACATACCGATATTTTTACTCCAGAACATTGTTTTTTCGTGTACTCTTTAACGCAGCCCCGTTTTTTTATAAATTTTTGTTGATTGTCCCCTTCCTGAAATCATTTTTATTCAATTTTACAAATATGAATTTATAATATTCCAAATGCATATCCATATACAGAGATTACTCTGAATCTCGAGACTTTCCCCCATCCCCTCCATGGGTCCTATTGCCAACATTTACAGCTGCATATTATCCCATATTCTATATTTTCTATCAATCCATATTGTCCATAGTATTTGTTACATTACAATCCTACTAATGTTTCCATCAGCTTGCAGTGGTCTCCTATGTAAGTTATAAAAAACAATCCCATTCTTTTGTAAAGTTTTTGTCCTCTTGGTTCCTGAGTTTTCCAGTCAGCTTTGCCATGTCAGCGTAGTCTATCAGCTTGGTTTGCCATTCTTTTCTGGTAGGGACTTTATCTTCTTTCCATCCCTGGGCTAGGGCTGGAATGGGAAAACAGCATCCAGGCGGCTGTTGTCCCATACATAAAAAGTATTTTCTGGTCCTTTGGAATATCGGTACCTGTAATTCCTAATAAAAATGCTTCTGGTTTTTTAACAAAAGTTTTTTTATTATTATTATTTCATTGTATATCATCTACCACCTTACAGGTCCACCACATGTGTTAAAAGGTACCTTCTTTTTCTTTACATTTCCAGATGGAAATACAGTGGTGCCTCGCAAGACAAAATTAATCCGTTCCGTGAGTCTCTTCGTCTTGCGGTTTTTTCGTCTTGCGAAGCAACCCTATTAGCGGCTTAGCGGCTTAGCGGCTATTAACGGCTTAGCGGCTATTAACGGCTTAGCGGCTTTAAGAAAAAGGAAACAAACTCGCAAGACGTTTCGTCTTGCGAAGCAAGCCCATAGGGAAATTCGTCTTGCGGAACAACTCAAAAAACGGAAAACTCTTTCGTCTTGCGTGTTTTTCGTCTTGCGAGGCATTCATCTTACGAGGCACCACTGTACCTAAATACCTAATTTTCCCTTTCTGAAGCAGCAAAGCTTCCTCACACGGCTGCAGAATGCATGCTCACGGAGTAACTGGTTGCTCCTATGTTTTGAAAACTAATGAATCATCCATTCCTCTAGGGGTAGGAAGCCTGTGTCCCTTCAGAGACTTATAACGCATAATAAGAAAGTTCTGGTTTTTTTAACAAAGGTTATTTTAAACATTTTTTTCATTTCATTATATATCATCTCCCAGAAAGCTTTTATTACCTTACACATCCATCACGTATGATAAAAGGTACCTTCATCTCCTTGACATCCGATGGGAGGGCATTCCACATGGCATAGCTGTCAACCGTCCCTTATTTGGCAGGAAACTCCCTTATCCCAGCGCTGTGCCCCGCTGCTGTCCCTTATTGATGGTGTCCCTTAAGTTTCCCGGGTTTCATGCTTGCCCGGCTCGGGAGGGAAGCAGCGGCTCGGGGTCCTCCGCCGCGCGAGAGAGAGCGCACTGGCGCCGTCGTCCTGGCGCGAGGAGTTCCATCGGCCCTTCCCCGCCCGAGGGGGGGGGAGGGAGAGAGACTCTCGCCCACGCCGCCTGCAAGCCCGGAGGTGGCAGAGGTGGTGGCAGCTGAGGAGGCGGCCTGAGGGAGGAGGAAGAGGAGGGGATGGGGAGGGACGCAGAAGGGCGGCGCTTCAGCGGCCACGGCGGCACCACAACCGCCTCATGCCGGATTGACAGCATCTGTCAATCCTACCAATGTATGTAACTCTTTACAACAGCAAAATCCCTTATTTTGGCTGCGGATCCCTTATTTTCGAGGCTGCTGGTCCCTTATTTTCAAATCTGTAAGTGGACAGCTATGCCACAGGGTGGGCGCCACTACCAAGAAGGCCCTCTGATAATATCTCTTGCTTACATGGATGGAGGGTGGAGTGCTTTTGCGTGTGTGTGTACCTCTAACTTCTGTGTGGCTGGGCTGCAGCTTACAGTCCAATGATAAGAGCCCAATCCCTTGCTGGCCCCTCCTACCATGCGGCCTCTGGAAAGTTGCCTGTGAGGCATACAGGCCCCTCGACCGCAAAGGGTTCCCCACCCCGCATTCCTGAAACTAAGCACCTCACTCAGGGGGCACCTCTGCCATGAGAAGGACCCGCTCCACCGTCACGCGGAAAAACCCTGTTCTGAACATTTCATAGAGGGAACATAAGGGTCACCCAGTCCAACCCCTTGCAATGCCCAACGTGGGATTCAAACCCACGATCCAGAGATTAAGAGTCTCCTGCTCTACTCACTGAGCTAGAGTGCTTCTCACAACATAAAAACACAAAAATACATAGGGTTCAGAGCAGGTTTGTTGGAACTCAGGTCACTTTTGATCTGGACTATGTGGGGGAACGTGGGTGGTGCTGTGGGTTAAACCAGAGAGCCTAGGACTTGCCAGTCAGAAGGTCGGCGGTTTGAATCCCCACGACGGGGTGAGCTCCTGTTGCTCGGTCCCAGCTCCTGCCAACCTAGCAGTTCGAAAGCACATCAAAGTGCAAGTAAATAAATAGGTACCGCTCCGGCGGGAAGGTAAACGGCATTTCCGTGCGCTGCTCTGGTTCGCCAGAAGCGGCTTAGTCATGCTGGCCACATGACCCGGAAGCTGTACGCCGGCTCCCTCGGCCAATAAAGCGAGATGAGCGCCGCAACCCCAGAATCGGCCACGACTGGACCTAATGGTCAGGGGTCCCTTTACCTTTACCTATGTGGGGGGGGGGACCCACCCTTTTATTCTGAGGTAATCAAAACTAAGCTTCCTGCTGGAATCACGGCTCACTTCCTGCATTGCACATCTGGGGCGTGGTTGGAGCCACGCTTGCCATCATCCTTTGGGGGTAGGGTGTGGGCTACACAGACTCCGTCATCGTACAGGAGGTTAAAACGATAGGTAGATAATAGATAGATAGATAGATGGATATTGTCGTGTGAAATGCAAGTTGGCTTTAATGGAAACAATTTGAATCGCTCTCGCCACCAACTATAGTAAACAAGGCTGTTCCCCCCACCGCCACGTTGATTACCCCTGAGGACACTGAGGCAATTTCAGAGCTTATAAATGCAGACATTTTACGCTCCCCATCTGTAGGGAAGGGTGTCACAATAATGTTCATTTATGCGGTAGGGAGGGGGTGGAATCCTCTTCACGACGGGGATTATGAAGAAGAAACGCTTTCACGGCAGCAGAGATCAGAGCGCAGGGTCACCGTCCTGGCTGTGTTTAAAATACAACAGCCTCTAGTTTTGGTCCCGAGCCACAGCTCCGAATTATCCAAGCCAACTGAGGGGAAACTTTGACCCTCCAGATGCTGCTGAACTATAACTCCCATCATCCCTAGCCTTTGGCCCTGCTTGCTGAGGCTCATGGGAGACGTAGTTCCCCACTCCTGCTCAAAGTCTTCCGTGTAGGTAACCACTTTCTCCCTGTAGAGCTCTCCCTTATTTTATCCTGACAACACCCTGTGAGGTAGGGCTAAGAGGAAAGAGAGTGACAGGGCCCAAGGTCGCCCAGTAATAATAATAATATAATAATTTATTATTTATACCTGGGGTATGTGCTGCCCTTGATTGCCTCCTGCCTCCTATTGGAGGGGCAAGGCGTATGTGACCTTGTGCTTAAGGGATCATGGGGGCAGGGGGAGCCCTGGATTCCCCTCCTCCAGAGGAGTCATTAGCTGTTGGAACCAAGGAAATTGGTCAAACCGTTGAATTTTGGCAATTATTTGAGGTTTCTACAGTTTTCCATACCTCGGGTTGCGAACATGATCCGTGTGGGAGGCACGTTCACAACCCGCAGCGTTCGCAGCCTGAAGCATTGCATCTGCACACACGTGTGAAGCGATTTGGTGCTTTTGCGCATGCCCTTAACGTCATTTTGTGCTTCTGCGCATGCACACGAGCGCCAAAACTCGGAAGTAGCCCATTCCAGTACTTCTGGGTTCGGCGCAGTCCACAACCCAAAAACACGCAACCCGCAGCGTTCGTAACCCGAGGTATGACTATATTGGATTATCAGAGGAAACAGTACAAGATGGCGTCTGCTTATTGCTACAGTTTTATAGACTGCTTTTCTGAGCCCCTTTGCTGTTGTGTAGGTATTGTGCCTGTGTTAACGGTCACTGTCCTGGCCTCAGTGTTAGAGACTGTGATGTGGATTTGGGATTTTTGGGGAGTCGTTTAACTGCTCTCCCCCCATTCCTGGTTTAACAGAAGGAAAGCTGCAATCACCTGCACTGTGCAACTGATATTTCAAAAAGAGGCACAATCCAAAATAACTCCATCAGATGTACAAACACCCCAAACCAATTTCCTGCTGCCCCCATTCTGACCCAATGTCAGCTCCTGTCTCACCAAGGACAGTATATATAAACGGGATCTTTCCAGAGAGGCTCAAAGGCTCTGCCCCACAAATACCCATTCATTACTGTTGCAAACAACGAAGCCATCCCATACTTACTGATTCCTTCCTTCCTTCCATCCCAGTTCTCCCCACCACTGTGTTTATTGAAAAGGCTCCAAATGCAAGTGGTTGGGAGGAGAGAGGGAGGTTGTGCTAAGAGCCCCACTTGAGAACGGGAGGCCTTGCCAATTTCTTTTCACACAACAGCTCTCCTAATGCTGACTGCGTACTAACCGAAAGAGAGAGCATGTTGGCAGATTGCGCCTTCTTGGCAGCGGCTGAGCGGGCGGCAGCTGGATGGCTTCGAGCTTGTGTACTTTGCAGCTGGTAGTTGTGGCATTTGGCAAAAGCCAACTGTCCAGATGGACACTAAATTTCCTTTAATGTTCATAACATGTCAAAAGTGAATAATCCTATGTCAAAATGGCTTAGGAGCACATTTATCTATCTGTTTACAGATACTTGTCCCTGACAGCTCGGAAGCAGGGAGAGACTCAGCGCGAATGAGTAGCCAAGCCCCCGTTTCAGTCGCCTGCCCTGAATTTCGGTGACCGAAGCAGTGGCTCGTGACTTGGGTCACAGGGCAGCGGTCAGCAGTCACTCAGGTGGAGTCACCAGTGGCAGGTCGTTGCCTAGAGGCCATAGAATCGAAGAATTGTAGAGTTGGAAGGGACCTCCAGGATCATCTAGTCCAGGCATAGGCAAACTCGGCCCTCCAGATGTTTGGGGACTGCAACTCCCATCATCCCTAGCTAACAGGACCAGTGGTTAGGGATGATGGGAGTTGTAGTCCCCAAACATCTGGAGGGCCGAGTTTTCCTATGCCCGATCTAGTTCAATCCCCTGCAATGCAGGAATACGCAGCTGTCCCATACGGGGATCAAACCTGCAACCATGGCATTATCAGCACCACACTCTAGGTGATGCTTGCAAGGTGGTGCTTGAGATGTTGATGTGTTGACATTCCTGTTTCGCAAAAGGGAAGGATCTCCTTGAAATCCCATTGATGTTGTTTAGTCGTTTAGTTATGTCCAACTCTTCGTGACCCCATGGACCAGAGCACGCCAGGCACCCCTGTCTTCCACTGCCTCCCGCAGTTTGGTCAAACTCATGCTGGTAGCTTCGAGAATACTGTCCAACCATCTCGTCCTCTGTCGTCCCCTTCTCCTTGTGCCCTCCATCTTTCCCAACATCAGGGTTCTTTTCCAGGGAGTCTTCTCTTCTCATGAGGTGGCCAAAGTATTGGAGTCTCAGCTTCACAATCTGTCCTTCCAGAGAGCACTCAGGGCTGATTTCCTTAAGAATGGATCGGTTTGATCTTCTTGCAGTCCATGGGATTCTCAAGAGTCTCCTCCAGCACCATAATTCAAAAGCATCAATTCTTCGGCGATCGGCCTTCTTTATGGTCCAGCTCCCACTTCCATATATCACTACTGGGAAAACCATAGCTTTAACTATACGGACCTTTGTTGGCAAGGTAATGTCTCTGCTTTTTAAGATGCTGTCTAGGTTTGTCATTGCTTTTCTCCCAAGAAGCAGGCGTCTTTTAATTTCGTGGCTGCTTTCCCCATCTGCAGTGATCATGGAGCCCAAGAAAGTAAAATCTCTCACTGCCTCCATTTCTTCCCCTTCTATTTGCCAGGAGGTGATGGGACCAGTGGCCATGATCTTCGTTTTTTTGATGTTGAGCTTCAAACCGTATTTTGCGCTCTCCTCTTTCACCCTCATTACAAGGTTCTTTACTTCCTCCTCACTTTCTGCCATCAAGGTTGTGTCATCTGCATTAAAAGTCTCTTTCATGTGCATATAAAAGAGAAAAGAGGCTGGCAGTCTTGGTGGGCCTGGATCTGGAAAGAGGTGGGGGCTTGACTCACTCCCTGTGCAGCATTCAAGGCTATAGCTTCCCCCACTCCTAACCTAATGTGGAAGGAAGATCAGTTAACCCTGTGAACCCTCCCCATCTTATACTCACCCTTGTAGATATGTGTAGATGGCAGGTTATGTGTACATCACAGAAAAACACCATTAGTCTTTGGTGACCTTCATTCTAACCAAAGGTATGCGATGCGACCCCTGAAATCTCTCACTGATTGGAGGCTGGGATGTGTGTACCAGTATTCTAAGCAAGTACAGTGGTACCTCGGCTTACATACACTTCAGGTTACAGACGCCGCTAACCCAGAAATAGTACCTTGGGTTAAGAACTTTGCTTCAGGATGAGAACAGAAATTGTGCTCCGGCGGCGCGGCGGCAGTGGGAGGCCCCATTAGCTAAAGTGGTGCTTCAGGTTAAGAACAGTTTCAAGTTAAGAACGGACCTCCAGAACGAATTAAGTTCTTAACCCGAGGTACCACTGTAATAAAGTTTTAAAGCATAACTTTTATTAGACTATTTAAACTGTTTTAGAAGGGTTAAAAAAAAGTGGGTATGTTTGCTGCCTTTGGGAAGAAGAGTGGGATATAAATTCAATAAATATGATGATGACGGTGATGATAATAACAAAGCAAATAAACAATGCGATTTGGCCACTGTCTGAGGGCAGAATCGAGCCTTCTTCCCCACCATATCCTTTCTGTTCCCTACTGTCATGTTGTCTGTGTTAAATATGGGAGAGAAAGCCCTCCTGTTTTGAAAAAGAATACAGAGAGAGAGAGCGACTGAATTCAGGGGAAGCTCAGCTATACATCTGCTTTGTTTGTGGGCAGCCATCTTGGAAACTTCCCGCTATAAACATCAATGAGGGCTGTTAGCTAAACTGTACCATTCCTCACCTTCACGTCGCATTACATGGTGCTGCTGGTGTCAATTAGCAGAGCTCCACTGCAAACCCACTCAGCAGAGCAACATCTGCCCACACCCGCTGAGC